CTTCATCGACTCATGACATTTTATTTGGTCTGATTATGATCTCATTTTTGAATCACAACTTCAACGAAAAGTTTAAATTATTAGTGAAATGTATTATTTAATATTAATATCTTCAATTTTCTACAGTACGAAATTTGAATCTTCGGTTTTCCTATACCATATTTAAAGTTTTATAAAGGACAAAAATTAATTTTTGAAAATTTATAGTGAAGTCCTTTTAATAATACAATTTTGTTGTATTAACTTTATTGCTTAATCAAGTCCTTTTAATATTAATTCCACTGTACAATCATGTTTGGTGAAGTGGAAACTCAATTAGGTGGTTAAATAGGGACAAAAAAAGGGGTCCATCTTCATTTTTTTATGCTTATCTACTTTTTTTTTTTTTTTTTAAATATTTAGGCCTCAGTTCGGTTACATATATAATATATTGGATTAATTCGAATTAGATTATATTAACATTCGGGACTACAAGTAACAAAAGCTGGCAAGTTTAATTATGATCACAATTCACAACATATTTGAGTGTAAGCAAACAAAACACAAATTTAGGACAAACAAAAAAAAAAATCATTGAGATTGAACCCGAGATAAATCTGTGTTTTCGTATGAAATTGCGATAGACGAATCTGCATCAACAACAATGCTTGAATTGCCTAAGAAATCTCTGTACCAATTAGCCGACAATTTCGGGATCCTGTTTAATGTTAATCGATCAATGTGATATAATCCGAATTTAATTGCATATCCGCTCGACCATTCGAAATTATCCATCAAGCTCCATATGAAATATCCTCGTACATCAGCTCCCTTCCTGCAAAATTTGTAAGAATTAAGGTTTCTCTACACGTTATATAGCGCATGAATTTATGATGCAAAATTTGTAAGAATTAAGGTTTCTCTACACGTTATATAGCGCATGAATTTATGATAATAATGATGGCGAGTGAGCATAATTATCAAACGAGTATATATACAAGCTCATTAGAAATAAAATGTTCGCCACAATTTGATATTTGCAAAATAAAGGGCAAATTACGAAAAAAAAACTCTCTTGTTGGGTAATTACAGTCACCCCCTCCTTTTAAATATTTTAACATAAAATTTATGTAATTCGGTTATTTACCGAACCAAATCCTATATTCAGTTCGGTAAACGGTGTGAAATGTTGGCGTAACGAAATTTCGATTCGATTTTACTGATTTAACATCCCTAGATTTACATCAGGAGGGTTTTTTTTGTAAGATAATACATAGTTGAGGGGGTGGATGTAATTACCCAAACAGGAAGGAGGTTTTCGTAATTTAACCATAACTCAAGGGGTGACCGTAATTCGCCCGTAAAAAAAGGATATACATGTTTTTAGAATCTATGACAAACTGCGGATGGTTGTAATATTTGAGGGATTTATTGCATTAAACACCCCTACATTTTCTCTAATTGCAAAACAGCTCTCCCCGTGTTATTCTATTAGCAAAAAAAACCCTATGATTCAATTTGTTTTCAGCAAACTGCCCCGAAACATTCACTATTTAGGAGTTTCTTGCTAAACAAATGCACTATAAGGGGTTTTTTTGCAAATATTAATAACACATGGGTACTAAATGCAATAAGTTAAATATATGAGAGGTTTGAATTCAAGTGACTTAGTAGAAATTAAATACCTTATAGCTTGAGCTAGATATTCAAGATAGGACCGATGATATTGAATTCTCTTCACATCATGCTCGTAAATATCATCTTCATCGTTCGGAGATGAATAACCTGGTATTTAAATTAATCATTAGCTTAATATCCGCAAATATTATCAACAATTTTTTTATATTAACATTTGTGTTTATTACCATTTTCGGTGACGAACATTGTCTTGTTATTGTATCTTTCTTTAACATAATCCACAATATCTTCCATGCCACTCGGCACAACAAAAAAACGAGACATCCCCGTCTGCAAATAGCAACAAATGAATAATTGTTATTGAAGTGAAATAAATAATATAAAAAAAATGTGGAAATTGTCACGATTTTTTTTTTGTTCCGAACCCGTTCGCCAATTGGAATGCCGTTCCTCTCTCCGGTGGTGTACACGAACCCGCGAATCGGACGATCGCTACCTTGGGTGCAGCTAGAGTCGTTGCATGGGCAACTCGAGTGTACACAATCCTTTGCATAGAGTACACCGTAATGGTTTATTCCGATAAAGTCTATACTATCTTTCAAAAGCTCTTTTTCCTCGGACGAAAAACTCGGTAATTCGCTTCCGTGATAATTTTTCATTTCTTGAGGGTAATCCCCATATACAAGTGGATCCAAAGTCCTATTCAATCATAAAAAGAAAAAATCACACACACACACACACACACACACACACACATATACAGTTAAACCTCTATAAATTAATACAGTCGAGACTAGGGAAATTCTATTAATTTAACGAATTATTAAATTATCGAGTTAATAATTTAACATGTTTTCACCGAGTCGGGGCCGAGAGAAACTATTATTTAATCGAGGTTATTAATTTATCGAGGTTCTACTGTATAAATAGAAAAAAATCATACACACACACACACACATACTGTATACATACCAAGCAACATTAAAAGCCAAGGCCCGTTTTGCAGCTTCCTTGTCATACATGTTATCGGTCAGTGGTGTGTACATAAATGCGCATACGGCAATACTCATTAAACCGTCCACCTTCGACTGCATCAAAAATCGATTTTGTCTTAAAAAAAATAAGAATTTAAATCTTTTAAACGCTTATATTAAATTGGTGATATATATATACACACTTGCCTTAAACTGGTCACGGTACAATTTAGCAGCTTTAGCATGTCCTAACAACATATTATGGACAACAATCAAAGGCTCGCTATCGGAATTTCCAGTGGCACAGTTACCAAAAGGAGGCGAGCATCGAGCGGGCGGATACGTCGCCCTTTCGTACCCCATTTCCGAAAATAAATTCGGTTCGTTTATTGTGATCCAGTATTTCACTCGGTCGGCAAAATATTTGAAACACATTTCCGCTAGATGTACAAACTCTTCCCTGTTAATTAACCCATACTAATCAAGATTAATTTGGTATTAAAATAACAAAAATCGGAATATGCACTTACTGCATTAGTGGACTGAGCCACCCTCCGAATCTATCTTCGAGTTCTTGTGGATATTCATGGTGGAAAATTGTCACAAAAGGCTCGATACCTGTACCGAAACTTATACCATATTCACTCAAGCAAATTAACAAACAGGTGGTGTGCACATGTAAAAATTAAGATAACAAATTTGCATTGCACCTCGAACTACGAGATTATCGATTATACTGTTGTAGAAGATTATAGCAGCTTGATTAACCCCACCGAATCTCCCTCCTTTGTGCATTATCAGAAAAAAACAATAATCATGAGAAAAATTGCAAGATAAGTAAATAAAATTCAGATTCGATTTTGTTTCGGAAAAGAACATACTAGGAAGAATTCGACTCCACGAAATCGAGAATCGGTAAGCAGTCAACCCAAGTGAATGCATTATCTCAATATCTTCCTGTGAAAATTGATAGATAATTAGGGCACAAAAACACAAAAAGGGGAAGCAATTCTATTTTCAGTCAATCAAAATCAAAAAAAATTAAAAGAAATTGGAGGGCAAAAATACCATATAACGATGGTAGTGATCATCAGCTACATCACCATTTGTCCCATCTGAAATTCGACCTAACAACTTCAAATATATCAAAGGTCAATACTCAAGATCCAATTTATTTCAATAAAAAAAAATTAAGATTATTACCATCAGTCCTGCAGAAAATATCCCAGTTGCTTACACTCTTGCCATCTTCAACAACCGCTCCTTCGATCTATAATCATAAGATAAATAGTACGATAATTTTGTTTCAGAGAGAGAGATAGATATAGAGAGAGAAATACAGACTTGATACGCAGAAGTGGAAGCTCCAAAGAGAAACCCATTTGGAAAATCGGATGCTTTGATGTGAACTTGTTGTTCTTCAATGGCGGATTCGGCTCTAGAAATTGGTGATTGAAGAAGAAGAAGAAGAAGAAGAAGAAGTAAGCAATTGGATATGAAAATGGATTTGAATTTGATTTTCTTCATATTCTTCTTCTCTGTGTTTCTTCACTGCAGCAGCAGATGTTCAGAGAAAGTAGCAAAAAGTAGTTGGCATTTATGGATAAATTACAACACCCCTGAGGTATGATCAATTTACAGAAAAACCCCTCTTGTTTGGATAATTACATCTACCTCCCTCAACTATAATTTGTTTCTTACATCTCCATCCTTATGGTGTCAAATTCAACATAATCATCTAGATTTCGTGGAATGTGCTCTAGCTTGTACTCGTTTTGTGTAAAAATATAGTTTCCGATGCACCACAATCTGATATATACAAGCCAAAAAACACATATTATGATCATCCTGCTTCAAAATGTGGAGTTCGAATGGGATAAAACGGGTATAAAAGTGATAATATTCTATATAATCTTGAAGATTCCACTAAATTTGAGGAGTTGAGGGGTGATTGTAATTATCCAAACAAGAGGGGGTTTTCGTAATTTGACCATTCCTCAGGGAGGTGGTTGTAATTTACCTGGGCATTTATTTAATTAAGGTTAAAATTGGAATTTTGTATTTTTAATATTTAGGGAAAATTGTAATTTTGGTCCTATATGTTTAAGGATTTAGTCCTATAAGTTGTCATCTTTCAATTTTACATGGAAATTATATTCAAAAGTAGTATTTTTAGTCATATTTCACTCGAACTTTGAATTTTAGCCGTTGTTTGATGATGAACCTAACAAATTCGCAGAAATTTATTTATATGGACATTTAAAAATTACAAATGCTCTTCTAGTTTGATTTATAGATGTGTTGTCTCGCATAATTATTAAAGTTCTACCAATGGTAAGTTAGATGTCGAATTTATAAATTTTCAACCGAGCATACTACCATTAGATAGCTGCCCTTACAACAGCTAGTAGAATCGTTACACTTGCAACCGGAGTAAATACAATCATTTTATACATATATTGTATATAGACGTACAAGGAAAACCGAGCATACTATCTTTAGAGCTTTCTCGACATTTCCCTCCATCGTTCCGTATGGTTTCCAAATTAATGAAGGGCAAAATTGACAAATAAAAATTAATTTTACCTTGAAATCATAAAACGACACCTAATATGAAAATTAAAAGAAAAAAGAGGCCAAAGCGACACTTATTAAGAAACGGAGGGAATAGTAGTTAGTTATATAGCATTTAATTAAGTTCGATTTCATGTGTAATTTCTCATCAACTTTTAAATATTCTTCATCAATAAACTCTGAAACTTTCTCTCTTCTTCAAAAAAAAAAAAACTCTGAAACTTTCTCTCTCAATATTATCATGTTGTGGTTGCATTCACGAGTTCTAATAAGAAAAATAATAAATAAAAATTCACATAATTATTTGAATGAAAATTCTCATAATTAATATGCACTTTCGTGTTGGTTTCTTAGTTATTTTTAGTTTTATGTGATGATTTGAACTAGAATCGTACGATTTTTTATAGTTTAAAATTCAATATTAAACGATACGAATAGATAATCGTGAAAACAACTTAGAAACTAATGCAATCTTACGAGTTTAGCAATAACGATAAAAGAAATCGCGTCAGAAATAGTATAGAAAGCGCACTTTGCATGACAAGAAACTTTTAAGTTTTAGGATTGAAAATTCGAATATAAATTAACAGAAAATTTACAGTTTTCATCCCTCGGGTTTGTAACGATTTCACATCTGGTCCCCCATGTTCACAGAAAACACATTTGGTCCCTTGTGTTTCAATAATTTGACACTTTTGATCATTTCCGTCAATTTACCGTTAGTCTGTCATTTACGGTAATGATGGGCACACGTTTGATTCCATTATTTTTAACGGAAAATTGACAAAAAGAACTAAAAGTGTTGAATTTTTGGCACATGAGGGACCAAATGTGGTTTTTATGAAAATATGGGACCAAATATGAAACCAGTACAAATTTAAGGAATGAAAACTGTATTTTTCCCGTACATGAACTATTATTTGACTTGTAGATTATTGTCATCAGATTGCAAAATATTTTTATTCCAAAAAAAAAGGATTGCAAAATATTTGGACAATCCCATTTTGCAAATAAATTTGCATGTCATATTTTATGCATATTTGTTTTCTTCTTTTTGGTATGACATGAGAAAAATAAGTCAACATGTAGTAATTAATACATCTTGGAATTTGACTCTATTTCTCCAATTCCCATTGTCACACCTCATAACGACTTTTTATAGGTTCTAGAGTAATTTTTAATATAATTCCAAAATCTACTATAATTTAATAAATGTTCTTCTTTTCAATCTCGTAAATTGTTACTTTCTTTTTCGAATTTTATGAACTAGGAAGCGACAATAAACCAAATGGACGACGAATATTCCGATTTCCAGGTAAAATTTTCAATTTTTCGAAAAAAATTTATTGGTTATTCGGTGTTTGTCAACGCGGAGTAAAAAAAAACACAGAAAACCCGATTCCGTGTTGAACAACATGGAAATAGCATGATTTGTTTTTTTATTCGAGACATACATAATTTGTAAATGTATAAAGTTTACCTAAAATCTATTATCATATGAGTCGAAGATTAGCGTCTGATTTTTTTTTCGAATATTTTAAAATATGAAAAATTAATAAATATTGAACTTATAGTTCGTGTTAGGTTATTACTATTCAAGTATTTTTAACCAAACTAGTATTTTTTTTCCCCGTGCGATGCACGGGATCGTATTTTAAAAGTGAAAAAAAAAATCAATTTAATACATCATAAAAAAAATATAATACACTAACATAGTAAAATTTAAGAAAGTAGTATTGTTCATATTTTATATAACATTAATTTTTTTACGTAGTAAAATTTATAATCCAAACAAATAAGTTACGATTTAACAAATCGAATTTCTATTTTATCTCTGAAGATTTGAGATATATTGATGAAAAATAAGAGATTGAAGCCGGAAGGATTCTTCACGGTTCAGTGTCATATAGGTAGAAAATTAATACAGAAAAAAAATATTTTAAAAGTGTCATTAGGGTTTCTTAGGGTTGCCCCAACGTTTCTTTCTTTTATATATAAGATATGTATAAGATAAGATTAGTGATTAGTGGGGAGTAGTAATGCCATTTGGCAAATGAAAATTTAAACTAATTTTAGTTATCATAAAAACTAAAGCCTATAATTAAATGTTAATGTACTATAAAATCAATAGTGATCCTCTGCTATTAATTTTATATATAGTTACTATAAAATAAAATAAATATAATATCATCCCTAAACTGCGATATAATATAGATGACTTATTATTAAATTAAAGAAATTATAGAAAAAAAATAATATGAAGTTACGTTTTAGTAATTTTAATACTTGATATGACATAGAAAATCAAATTTTATCTACCTAACTAAATAATTAGTAATTATTCAATTTATATAGTTACTGCTACAAATAAATTTGACTCATACCAATACATTTATATTTGAGCAAATTACGGTTATCTCTGAGTATGCTAAAATTACAAAAAAACCCTTATATTTGGGTGATTAATTACAACCACATCTCAACAATGTATTGCTTTACACATCTGCACTTACGGTATCAAAAGAATATGAATTTTTTTTATTTTTTTTCATAAAACAATATATAATTAAGAGGTTGGTTGTAATTATTCAAATAAAAAGGGATTTTTTCGTCATTTAAGTATATCTCAAGGAGGTGGCCGTAATTTGACATTTATATTTTATACCTCAAATTATGAAAAGCAAATTGCATTTATAGTATAGATAAAGAATAAAATTCCAACACATATTGCAGTGAATGCACAAAATTGCCATAAAAAATAAATCAAATCAGACCTTAATAAATAGTATTACCATATAATTAATTACTAGATTAACCAATATTATAATTAAGGCAAAGACTAGTTAAGCAAAGTTACTCAAAAAAAATAAAAAAATTTAAGTAAAGTAATTAATAACGTGTCGTAAGTGTACGAGTAAAAAAAGGCGAGAATGTCTATTAAATCAAAGAAACGTGATTACATATATAAATATCACCCCCTGAGTTATGGTGAAATTACGAAAACTCCCCTCTTGTTTGAGTAATTATATCCACCCCTCAACTATGTATTATCTAACGAAAAAAACCCCTCCAGACACCGACCCAAAATTTCAGTAACGCCAACATTTCATAACGTTTACCGAACTAAATATACTATTTTGTTCGGTAAATAACTGAATTACATAAATTTTACGTAAAAATATTTAAAAGGAGGAGGTGACTGCAATTACCCAAACAAGAGGGGTTTTTTCGTAATTTGATCATACATCAGGGGTTGCCGTAATTTGCCATTTCTCTCTTATATATATATATGATTCCCAGTTCTGAAACCAACTCTCTGTAGAAATCAAGAAATACACACATATATATGTATATATGTATACGTAGAGAGAGAGAGAGAAAGAGGAGATAAACAAACAAACCGCACAATAAAAGGTGGCCGGAAAAAGGTGAAAATCGCCACCGCTAACCGCCGCCTCTCATCTCTCCCGCGTGACATATTACCATACGTAACAGACCCACTCAGATTTCATAAACCCAAATCCCTAAAATCTTCATTTATACCCCACTTTTGACTTCTCTCTCTCTCTCTCTCTCATCTCTCTCTCTCTCTCTAGAGATAAGAAAATTCAATTAAATAAATAAATAAGTCATTTATTGATTGTTTTGTGTATTTATACGTGGAGGTGAAGGGGTGAGAGATTTTCACAGAGGGGGTGTCGATTGATTTGATTAATATTTTCTTTTTTTATAAATATATTTGCATCGGATTAATCAGTTGTTAGCGCGGCGGCGGTGCGGCGGAGATGGGGACGGAAATGGTGGACCTGGAGGAGCAGATTCAGGCCGTCGCTACCACCGGAGAAAATACTGCGGCGGCCATTTTCAAGAAAGCCAATCTTCCTGTCACACTCAAGGTTATTTTTTTTTTAATTTTTCTTTTTTGAATTGATTCTTTTCAAAATCATGCATGCATGAATTTTATTTTTTTATTATTAAATTCAATTTTTTTTTAATTGTTCTTGGGAACATAATTCATCTGAATTTATTTTTGTATGTATAACCTAAAAATCTGCAAACTGCATTCAATTCTTCTTCTTCCTTCCTGCATCGTCTAAATCAAATCAAATCAAATCTGGTTTTTTTAATTCAATACTGAAACCCTAGAAACCCTAAATTCAAAATACGCAGTTCGATGAAGTTGTATACAAGATCAAGATCAACAACGGCGGCTGCCTGAAGAAACCCACAACGAAAACCGAAGAGAAATCAATCCTAAGAGGAATCTCCGGCGCGGTCCACCCCGGCGAGATGCTCGCAATGCTGGGGCCCTCCGGCAGCGGCAAGACGACGCTCCTCACCGCCCTCGGTGGCCGTCTCGGCGGCCGCCTCGGCGGAAGCATCACCTACAACGGCAAGCCCTTCTCGAACGCAATGAAGCGCAACACGGGGTTCGTGACGCAAGACGACGTGCTCTACCCCCACCTCACGGTCACCGAAACCCTAGTCTACACCGCCCTCCTCCGCCTCCCGAAAACCCTAACCAAGCAGGAGAAGTCCCGCCACGCGGAGGCGGTGATCGAGCAGCTCGGCCTCTCGCGGTGCCGGAACAGCATCATCGGGGATCATTTTCTCCGGGGAGTCTCCGGCGGCGAGAGGAAGCGCGTCAGCATCGGGCAAGAAATGCTGATTAATCCGAGCTTGTTGTTCTTGGACGAACCGACTTCCGGGCTCGACTCGACGACCGCTCAGAAGATCGTGTCCACTCTGTGGGAGCTCGCGAACGGCGGCAGAACGGTGGTGATGACGATTCATCAGCCTTCGAGCAGGCTTTATTACATGTTTCATAAGGTGCTTTTGCTTTCGGAAGGGAACCCGTTGTTTTTCGGTAAGGGATGCGACGCGTTGGACTATTTTGCTAGCGTCGGTTTCGCTCCGTCGGTTGCTATGAACCCGGCCGATTTCCTCCTAGATCTTGCAAACGGTACGTTTCGAGTTTATTTTTTTGGATGGAATTGAATAAATTATATATTTTTTTTCAAAAATGTTGATTTCGAGTTTTTTTTTGGATGGAATTGAATAAATTATATATATATTTTTTTTGAAAATGTTGATTACGATTATCAGATCGGTGGAAATTTCCGAATTCTGCCGATAATTATTCGATTATCCGACTTTAGAATAACTCTTTTCGTTCTATAGTTTGATCGGTCCAATTTGATTTTCAAACCCTCTGCCGATTTCCTCTTAGATCTTGCAAATCGTACATTTCGAGATTTTATTACGATCTCTAGACAGGTGAATTTCCGGATTCGGCCAAATTTGATTCGAAAAGTTCCGACTTTCAAAATAACTTCCTTCATATTGCTTTACAAAATTTCTATTTTTTCGATTATTTAATTTTCTTGCCCTTTTTTAGAAATTGAATCGGAAATTTTAGGTTTTCTTTCGAAAATACTAATTTTTATCTGATTTGTCAAATTGGTACTTCCAAGTAATTTTTCTCTTTCTGATTTGGATATTTATTTATTTTCAATTCGAATCCCGGAACTATGATTTCCCAATTTATTTCTTAAACTCTTCGGAATCGAATTGTCCGAAAAAATGTTAATTTTAATCCGATCCGTTTTTTATATCCGTCTTTAACTTTAAGATCAAGTCAAAGCCCTCGGAATAAATAATGAGCAATTGATATAATTAATCTCTTCATATTGGTATAGGAGTTTCGACGGCCGATTCGCACGAGGATCAAACGGCCGTCAAGCAAACACTGGTTTCAGCCTACAAAGCAAATCTTTCGGAGAGTGTGAAATCGGAACTTGCAAATGAAATTCAAATCCATTTGCCGACGGATAGTAAGCAGTTCGGGCGATGGTCAAACACTTGGTGGGACCAATTCTCGGTTCTTTTCCGACGAGGAATCAAAGAACGCAAGCACGAGTCTTTCTCCGCGCTCAAAATCATTCAAGTTTTAGTCGTCGCTATCCTTTCAGGGCTCCTATGGTGGCAATCTGATATCAGCCATTTACAAGATCAGGTAAATTCTTCAAACACATGGTTTATTCATATACGAGTGTAAATTACACATACTGATATGCTAAAATAACTTTAAGGTCCATGTAGTATTGGTAATTACGTTCACACCCCTGAAACCATTACCGGAGCTAAGATTTCATGTCCTGGGGACATATATGTTTGTTTTCCGTTGTGCCGTTAATGCTACTATAGACGAAAATTGGGTGATTATAATTAGCGATACTATAAGGACTTTAAAGTTATTTTAGCATACAACAGGGGTGTAGGTGTAATTTACCCTATTTATTATAATTTTTAAGGTAAATTCCGAAAACCCCCTAAAGTTATATTAAATTACAAAAACCACCTCCACTTATTCGTAATTACTAAACCCCCCCTATACTTATATTAAATTACAAAAACCACCTCCACATATTTGTAATTACCAAAAACTCCCTGATGTTTGTTTCCGTCTTATACCAACCCTTACCGTGTGACTTTTCACATTTTTTATTTATTTATTTATTATTCTAGAGAATAGACTTTACACAATTTCATATACTTTATTTTATTCCTCACCTATTTAACAGAAGTATATATATAATAGTTAAATAGGTGGGATTTTGGTTATCACGGATAGGTGCGAGTGTTTTTCTTATCTACCCGAAGTTCAGGGGTATTTTCGTAATTTACCCTAATTTTGGTTATTACGGATAGGTGGGGCTGTTCTTCTTCGCGAACGGTTTCTGGGGTTTCTACCCCCTCTTCCAAGCCATCTTCACCTTCCCGCAAGAGCGTTTAATGCTGGCGAAGGAACGATCCTCCGGGATGTACCGCCTCTCGTCGTACTTCATGGCGCTAACCCTAGGCGATCTTCCGATGGAGCTCGTCCTCCCGACCGTCTTCTTCACCATCACATACTGGATGGCGGGCCTCAAGCCGGCCGCCGGGCCTTTCTTCTCGGGCCTGTTCGTGCTCCTCTACAGCGTCCTCTGCGCGCAGGGGCTGGGCCTCGCCATCGGCGCCGCCGTGATGGATATGAAGGCCGCCACCGTGCTCGGGTCGGTGATCATGCTGACTTTCTTGCTCGCGAGTGGGTACTACGTGCAGCACGTGCCGGTTTTCATCGGATGGATAAAGTACTTGTCGATCAGCCAGTATGCTTTTAAGCTGCTTCTTGGGACGCAGTACAGTGTTGGGGAGACGTACCCCTGCGGCGGCGGCGGGCGGAGGTGTCTGGTTGAGGATTTTCCGGCGGTGAAGGCGGTGGGGTTGGATGGGCAGGTGGTTTCCGCGGTGGCGCTTGCGTTGATGATTGTTGGGTACCGGCTGATTGCTTACGTGGCGCTCATGAGAATTGGGGTTATTAAGAAATAGAATATATTTGTTTTTTTTTTTTTTTTTTTTTTTTTTAATGTCAAACAGTTGACTGTATGGTGTTAGAATTTGAGATTTATGGTAATACTTTTAATATTTTAATTTTGGTTTAGTATTTTTAGTTAATGTTGTTCATGGTCAAGGAAATTAAATCATGGTTGATTAGTTAGATGGATATTTTGCTAATGCACTATTTCTAAAAAAATAAATCAGGAATTAAAATAAGTAATTACAGAATTGACAACATTTTATTGAACTATGTTGTTTGAGTGAAGAATAAACTTGGTTTTGAAGCCATACTTACAGTAGAATTTCAATAAAAGAATATTCTCGGTCAAATAATAATTTCTTTTTAGTTTAATAATTTAATATTTTGTTAAATTAATAAAATCTTATTAGTCACGATTGTATTGATTTAAAGAGGATTAATTGTTAACATATGGGAATTTTTAGTTGGGTTTTTAAGAACATTAATGCAAGGATTATTTATTCATTTGAAATTCGAATTTCTTTCTAAAATGCAAGGTGATGAGTATTTTCGATCTCTATACAAAGAGAACAAGTTCTTCAATATTACATATGTGGATCTTTGGTCTGATTGTTTTATAATAATATTGTCTCGTTATTCTGTCCGATTGAATTCGAATCTTCTCTATTTTTCTATTCTAATATACCTGATTACGTTAATAGTGTACTTACGTGGTGTTTGCAAAAGCTTATAGAAATAGATTATGCGTTTTTTTCAGTGTATAATCTGTTTTTATGTGTTTGCAAAACAAACTTTTGATTTTGCTTCTCTTAAAATAAGCTGCTTTAAGCTATAATTTTAAAAGCAGTTATGTACATGCTTTTTTCTATTTTAGTTGATTTCCAACTAATATGCAAACAGCTACAACTTTTAGAAATAAACACTTAATTTCGAACTTAAATCACAATCACTAACTTCTGCTTTTATATAACCTTTTGTAAACACCACCTTAAGCGAACAAACCAACAATTACAATTATTCATTGCCAAACATCTTTGTCTATATATATATATATATATATATATATATATATATATATATATATATATATATATATATATATATATATATATATATATATATATATATATATATATATATATATTTCTTATTTCTTTTTATTTATTTTTTATTCTTGAATGTACATACATTTTGAGGCCAAAAACTTCCCAAAATTGTACCAAATAAAAGCTGTTATACATTTGCAGAACACCACTGAACATGCTTATATACATTGTATCATTGTATGCACTTCCAATTTTGACTTGTGCTCTTTAGGACAAGAAGTTAGGATGTTGTCTAGGTGCAAGAAATGATTAAACACTATGTACTTTTCATAGCATTTGTGGCTGCATTTGCTCAACCACACATACTCTCCATCATTTAAGAAATTCATGTTAATTAATATGCCTAAAATCATGTAAAGTTATCAAATATTCTTGCCCTTTTTGTTTTTTCAAATATTAGTATTGGTTTACGGTTGATGAGGATCAGTTCGACACTTTTGGGTCGAGCTCCCCATATTCAATATTGGTGGGCCAGGACCCAACGAAGAATAAAAGTTAAACCCAGAACCGAGATGACCTAGATAAGCGAAGATGTTCGCCAGAATGAGAGCGCAGAGATAGGAAGATCAAAGAGCTCGCGCAATTGGGAGACCAGCAACGTACACTTCAACTTGCAACATATCGATTTGAATATATTTTCCATGAACAAATAAGGAAAGTGAATAAATCAAGATTGATGATTGATTGATGTAAATTAAGGATGGGTAATTGATTCTCAAATTTTCAAATTATTTTAAATCGGAGTAGGAATTATATATGAAGTTCCTATTTTTTATTCGACTTTCAATTCCGAAATCTAAAAATTATAACCTTTTTTTTTTCCCAAAAAATATGTTTATAATGTTAATATTAAAATATGTGGATTGAAAAATATGAATTTTTTGGAATACGTGGATTCCAATTCTAAAGTTTCTTATATGTTCTCCTTAAATTAATATTTTTCATACTAATGCGAAACTTAAAAAAAAAAAAAGGGAATAAATAAAAATAAAAATAATGATACTATTATTATTATTATTATTATTATTATTATTATTATTATTATTATTTGTGGAAAAATAGGAGTGTCAATTTTGAGGGTTTTTCACGTATGGAAGTCAAAAGAACACGTGGTTAAAGAAGCGGCACGTGGACACAAGATAAGAGAACCGTGACTTTTGTAGTTAGGCAGAATATTTCTTTTTACAAGAAGTCGGGGGGGAAAGCTTACTATATTTTCATGGGTAAATTACGAAGCCCCTGAACTTTGGTGAAATTACGAAAAACACCTTCACCTATTTGTAATTATAAAAATGCCCCCGATGTTTGTTTTTATCTTATACCGGCCCCCTTGTGGTGTTATTTTTCATGGATTTTTTTTGATTTCTTGGAATGTTATCCAAAAATGCCGATTTAATTCCTACATAAGTGAAATTTATTTATGCTATTTTTGAAATATAAAAATTACCCTCAAGAGTCTTTTACACGTAGTCTTTATTATTTTTTAATAACACCTTCACATTTTTTAGTATTATCATTATCCCTTTGAGAGTAATATTTGTTTTCAAAAAGTAACATAAATAAAATGTCATTTCAGTAGAAGTAAGATTGGCATTTTTTAGAAAATATTACCTGGAATCAAAAAAATTAGTGAAAATAACACTTTAAGGGGGTCGGTGTAAAACGAAAACAAGCATTAGGGGAATTTTGGAAATTACGGATAGGTGGAGGTGTTTTGTGTAATTTAGCCTAAGTTTAGGAGAGTTTTAGCAATTTACCCTTTTTCATAAAGCTATAAAAGGCGTGTTAACAGTACAGCGTTTTCAATCGACACGTTGGGGTTTCGTACCGTAACACGCTTTTAGTGTTTTTTGTGGATTTAACCTTTATTTGCCTATTTGGTGGTTTCTTCCACTCTAAAAACTATACTGTAAATATACAGATTCTAATCTAAATGCTGAGCTGTCACTTTGTTGGAACTCTGCAATTTTTTTGGTCAAAAGCTTCATATTTTTGTTGTCAATTAATTACAAGACTTTGTTTTAATTTGTGGTTTAGATGAGTTTATATTTTCCACGTGGATGCCTTCAATTCTATTTCTTGTTTAAAGTTTGTATGGACTAAATACGTAAAGCGCACTAAGTTAAATGATTTTGAGTTCGAGTTTCTTCGCCAAAAAAATTATGTCGGCAATATAGATTTTATTATAAAGGAAAATACAACATAAAGTTTCCGAAGGTTTAATTTACTTCAACTTTTTTCGTAATTATTTGTTTCTTATTTTTTTTTTCCTACTAGTGTTTTGAATTTAAATTATTGCATTAAAAATTTTCATAATTCATGTACAAATTCTTTCGACCTCAATCTCCTATGTTTCATTTATATTTTTCTAATTATTCTGCAATCTCTAATTACTCTGCAATGAAATATATCTTTCGTAACAAATCGTATAGAAAATGCCAGATGGCTATAGAATAAAGGGTAAATTACAAACACCCCCCTGAAGTATAGTAATTTACAAAAAATCCCTTTTGTTTGGATAATTACATCTACCCCTCAACTATGATTTTTTCTTACACCTCCACCCTTATGTTGTCAAATTCAACATAATCATCTAGATTTTGTGGAATGTGTTTTAGTTTGTACTCGTTTTGTGTTAAAAAACAGTTCCTGATGCACCACAATCTTATATATACAAGCCAAAAAACGCATATTATGATCATCTTGCTTCAAAATGTAGAGTTCGAATGGGATAAAACGGGTACAAAAGTGATAATATTCTATATAATCTCGAAAATTCCACTAAATTTGAGGAGTTGAGGGGGTTGTAATTATCCAAAAAAATGAGGGTTTTCGTAATTTGACCATATCTCAGGGGGTTGGTTGTAATTTACCCTAGAATAAGTAAAAATCACGTTCCAACTCTTGAACTATTACGAAGTGAGCACAATTTTTTCTATCACAATTCATTTAATTAAATATTTTTTTTTTAAATATTATCTCATACATCGTACGAATAGAAATACTAGTGGATAATTAATTACATATGACTATACCATTCCTCAATCCTTTTTAACAATGGTTGCAAAGGAATTTCTTGTTTTGGTCAAATAAATACTTACATGTACCTCACTAAAAAAAATTCAAAGGTAATAGAACAAAATAAATAAAAAGAATTACAAAATCAACAAATTGAAAAGACCTTAATTTCATATTGTATTTTGGCATGTGCATATTTACGTAGTCCAATAGAGAAAATAACATTACGTCAAATATTACGAATTGGAATACACTTACAATATTTTTAATATTTCTAAAATATTATGTAATCCGATTTTAATTTTTAAAAATATTTATAAAATTTTGCCATTCTAAACAATTACACTTACAATATGATTAATACATATTTTATATTACATTGGCTAAATGTACAGTAAAATCTTAATAAAATAATATTTTGAAAAATTAATAATTTCGCTTAAATAATAATTTATCATGATTTCAATTTGGTGAGAACGTACTAAATTATTAACTTCATAATGTAATATTTTGCTAAATTAAAAGTTTCTCTGATTCCTATTATATTAATTTATAGAGATTTAATTGTATATTCCCTTCGTTTCGTTTTAACTGTCGTTTTTTAGTTTTGCACAAAGATTAAGAATTTTATTAAATGTGTTTTGGTTTTAGGAAAATGTATGTATTTATACTGGATATTAAGTAATTAATGAAGTGTTGAAAATTTAAAGTGACTGATAATATGAAACAGAAAAAAATCTCAAAAGTGACAGATATTATGGAACACAAATTTCGAATTTTGTCGGTTACAATTCAATATATTTTAATTATGTAACATGTTTATTTCGTTCTAAATTTTCTAATTTTTAAAACGTATTTAAAAATTATTTATTTTCGCACATACTTTTTTGCGTTTTTAGGTAAGTGTGTACGCACGTGGCATTAAATGGAGCTCCACCATTAAGCATTATCGGATAAGATCAGCCACACAATACACTGCCGAACACCCTCTACGTGGCACATTTAAACGGTGGTGGATCTGTGGGCCCCACTCCTTTTGACTTTCAGAAAAAGACCACCTCCTTTTTCCCGCTTATATATACACAACCGCAGACTCCCATTTTTTCGGAGAAATAATAATAAAAAAATAAAACAAAAACAAAAATAAAAATAAAAATAGTACTCCTCTCCTTCTTAATTTATTATTGTTACTAATTTCTTTATCGTCATCAGCAAAATGGGTATCCGAGAACCCGACCCGCTTTCGCAACTGAGTTTGCCGCCCGGTTTCCGGTTCTACCCGACCGACGAAGAGCTAATGGTGAAGTACCTCTGCAGAAAAATCGCCGGCCACCATTTTCCCTTACAAGTCATCGGCGACGTCGATTTGTACAAATTCGACGCTTGGGATCTTCCAAGTAATTATTATTTATTACTCTTACTTATTTATCTATTATTAGCGTATATACTACAATCACTCCCTGAGATTTGGTCAAATTACGAAAAAACCCCTTATGTTTGGGTAATTACAAAACTCATCTCAACTTTAAATGTTTTTACACTTCCACTCTTGCGGTGTCAAATTTAGTAGAATCTTCTAGATCACATGGAATATTCTCAATTTTGTTCTCGGTTTATCCCATTCGAGTTCCACATTTTGAAGCAAGATGATCATAAGACGTGCCTCTTTGCTTTTAAATATCAGATTGTGGTGCATAATAAATTATTTTTTTTACACAAAACGCGTACAAACTAGAGTACATTTCAAGAAATCGAGAAGATTTTGTTAAATTTGACACCATAAGTGTGCACGTGTAACAAGATTCATAGTTGAAGGGTAAGTCGTAATTATTCAAATATAATAATTTTTTTTCGTAATTTGACCGTACATCAGGGTGCATGTAATTTACCTTTTATTATTATTCATATTATTATTATTATTATTATTATTCCAATTAAATTGTTTGATTTTTTTTTTATATTTTATTAATCATTTAATAAATTTGCAGGCAAGGCTTTGTTTGGGGAAAAAGAATGGTACTTCAGCCCTAGAGACAGAAAATACCCAAACGGATCAAGGCCAAACAGAGTCGCCGGCTCCGGCTACTGGAAAGCCACCGGCACCGACAAAATCATTTCGACGGAGGGAAGAAAAGTCGGAATTAAAAAAGCCCTAGTTTTCTACATCGGAAAAGCTCCTAAAGGAACCAAAACCAACTGGATTATGCACGAATACAGACTCTCTGAACCTCCCAGAAAAAATGGAAGCACCAGAGTAAGTCAAATTAAAAATCAATTTTTGATTCAATTTCAATTTTCTTCTCTTTGATTTAATTAAATTTTTTTTTTTGTTTAGTTGGATGATTGGGTGTTGTGCCGAATCTACGAGAAGAATTCGACCGGATCGAAGGCGGCGGTTTCCGGTGTTCGGAGCAGCGAGTTCAGCCACGATTCGCCGTCGTCTTCTTCATCCCAATACGATGACGTTCTGGATTCACTGCCGGAGTTCGACGACCGCCGTTACTTTTCCGCGACGGGAATGGAATATTCCGTCAACAGCTGTCAGCAGGAAAAGGATGACAAGGCGGTGAATCTTCTTCAGCATATGGGTTCGGGTAATTTTGATTGGGCCACGCTGGCCGGGCTTAACCCACCGGTTCGGGCGGCCCAATACGGTTCGCGAAATGACATGTTTGCCCCTGCTTCTAACAACTCGGGTTATATCTTCCCACAGAACCCGGTCGAGTTCGCTCAGGGCTTTTCCGAATCGGTGGACCCGTTTAGCGCCCAATACCCGGCGGCTCAGCCTGGCGGGTTCGGGTTTAAGCAGTGAAATAGTTAATAGTGAATCTTTCAGGGGTCGGTTTATAATAGTTGGGAATATTGGTTTGGGGCTATTGTGTAAATACGCATAATTCTTTGGTGCCAACTGTTTTGAGTTTTAGCTAGATTTGAGGAGAGCTCCAAGGCAATAATAAAGTAATAATGTCATTGATATTTTACTAGCCATAGATATAGCAATTTTGTAAATTTTATTCTTTTAATTGATTTACAATAATGTTTATAAAAGCTTTTGAAATTAGTCTATATTTCTAGTGTTTGTGAAAGTAATTTTTATCTTTATTTATCTGATATTTAACCCATAGGTTATATGTAGGGCTGGGTATAGGTCGGGTTGAGTAATTATCGACCAATTACATGCCTGATCAGATCAACCGATTTTGTTGAATATTGAAAACCATTACATGCCCGACTATTACGAGTCGGATAATAGTTGGCAACCGAGTCCTGCTGCTCTTACAGCTCTTAGGTTTGCCGAAATTCATGGTTGGAGTAATGTTGTTCTAGAAGGCGATTTTGCCTTCAACTTATTAATGCTTTAAATAATCCGGATTACGGGTCTTTGGTCGTATGGAGTGAGAATTGTGATATTGAACTGTCGAAACTCGAAAGTATATTAAAATTGGCAAACGAATGTTTGAAAAACGACTGAAACTTCAGCAATAAACTTCAGACTCATAAGGGCACACTCTGCACTGTTCAAATCACATAGCACGTCAATGTTTAAATCTCGATAAAAATCCAAACAAGATTCAACAAACACACGTTCAGTTCCATTCGATTCAATTCGTGTAAGTAGCGCCACCACATTATCATTGGACAATATATTTTCTTTGATAAATAAACCTACAACAGATAATAAGAGTCGATCGACTTGAAATACAGTAAGCATACATACATGTACATGAATTATATATATATATATAATTAAATTAACAGAACCTGCGTCGTAAATGTGGCATGTTTATACTTATATAGTTATATTGGCCTGTGCTATTATTACTCGAATACGATATATTCACAGTTCGATGGCCCTTCATACCTTCGTACGACAGCTCTCTTCTTTGTCTCGTCATTTCAGTCTCGTGTCTTCGACTTTTTTCACTCCTAAATGCAGACAAATATCATTACGATTCGAATAATTACATATCCGGAGTTTTTAATCAGAATTCGGTCATATAATAATACCTCAGATGGACCTTTCACTGGTGGCAAACTGGCATTAGCTTCAACTGGTGCTTCGGTTATTCTAGCTTCCGATTTCTCGTTCGAGTAACTGCAAAAACGAAAAAAAAAAAATAGAGTTCTCGACATATTTAAGTAAAGTTGTTTTGAATGGATTTACAATATTATTGCACGGATTAATTGTTCTGAAGAGACCATTTATAGAAAGAATGAGTTTCCTAAAGCACCGGGTAGATTTTTACCGTACATTCACACATAAAAACACACACATCCATGTTGGTGTGTGTAGATTTGACCATTAGTAATCAAGATTAGTAGAAGTCATTATTAATTAGAAGTTTAAAGTTGTTTATTAACACAAACAACGCTTACGTGGATAGTATAGTGACCCAAATGAGTTCGACACAATCAACCCAAAGAAGCCTTTGCTCGACGGGGATAACACCGTACGTAACTAGATGAGCAAACGGCCAAAGCTTCCACCCCGCCTGAAAGTACAAAAATTACATTGTCCAAACGAATTAATTAAAGTACATAAGATTTTTAAACTGAAAAAAGAAAAAAAAAGGGATTTAATTAGTCATATTCTCGAGAGTTCTTACAGTTAACATGGGCAAAAACGTGGCCTTCCACTCGCTAAATATATTAGCGGGAGATTCGAAACGTAAAACGCCTAAAAGTGTGAAGTAAATGCTGTTCCAAATCGCAGACCATACTGTCTGATCGAACAGCACTTTCGCCGGAACCACCCACCAATCATCGAACGGAAATAAAGCCTGATAGTAGTAATAACTAAATAGCCATTTCGCACGAGAAAAAAAAAATTATATAAATAAATAAAATAAAAACTGAAATAATAATATTAATTACCTCACAGAAGTGATAGTAGTAATGAGAAAGGGATCCATGCAGTGTAAATCCGACTAGACCAGATCGGAACAAGCGTGCGCGGTCGAACTCGAATATCGGTTTCCCTTCGTAGCACTAACAAATTATCGAGCAAATTTCATCAGTTTACTTTAAGACATAGTGTATATATATATTTGTATGTATGTATTTGCTAACCTGTGCAATCCAATCTCCGACGGAATAAACAACTCCACTTATTACCATTTTTGCCAAGACGGGGTTCGTTTTAAGAGCTGACTCGTAAGCGCTCCAGTTGTGTTGGGGTGCGTATCTCAATATTTCAAGAAGTGTCCATCCCTATATATATATAAAACAGAGCAAATCAGAATGCAGAGGCGTATTTTCGAAGAGTGACGTATATTAATACGAGTACTGTGACGAAGAAGAAACTAGTCAGGAAACGAGTATAGAGATAGATGAGAGTGTATCCACATCTACATCCACTCGAAAACACTGGGAGAAAGGGTATAGTTGTAAAAAAAAACGTAAACCGAAAAAATCTTCTACAAAGCTCAAATGCTGACGTTTAATATCGTAGATTAGGGGCTAGTAGATAAATTTGGTTGTCAAAATTTTACTTTGAGATTCATAAACTCAAATCAAGATCAGTAAAATGTGATTTATTTGTATTTTATTGAGCTCCGAAAATAAAGTTTTGAGGCCTGTGCAGATCGTGAATAATCGAGTTCCCTTCTATTTGAAGGTCATGATCAAGATTCATGGAAGAAAAGAAAAGCAAGATTATGATAAATGCAATACATGTTACATATTCAGCATCACAGTTACAGATTAACAATGCAGCAGCAAAGAATTGTTGAACCACTCACACCGTAAGAAGCATCAATAATCAAAAATCACACACACACGCGCGCGCACACACACACACACACACACGGAGCGAGTAAGAAGCATCAATAGTCAAAATTAACACACACACACACACACGCACATAGTAAGAAGCATCAACAATCAAAATTGACACACACACACAGAGTAAGAAGCATCGATAATCAAAATTAACACACACACACACAGAGTAAGAAGCATCAATAGTCAAAATTATAACACACACACACACGCACATAGCAAGAAGCATCAACAATCAAAATTGACACATGCACACAGAGTAAGAAGCATCGATAATCAAAACTAACACACACACAGTAAGAAGCATCACCAATCAAAATTCACATACACACACACAGTAAGAAGCATCACTAATCAAAATTCACACACACACACAGAGTAAGAAGCATCAATAGTCAAAATTAACACACACACACACAGAGTAAGAAACATCGATAATCAATATTAACACACACACACACACACACACACAGAAAGAAGCATCAATAATCAAAAGCCACACACACACACACAGTAAGTAGTAAAAGAATTATTAGACTCACATGCCAGTAATCATGATCTATTGTAAGCAATTTGGTGATGGCAAAAGTTCCAGCAGCCAACACAATGGTAGCGTTAATTGTCCTGTCAATTAGCTTATCCATTTCCTCCTGGCTCTCCCCATCGCCGCCGCCGGAGGACCTCGCCGGCCCACCCGCGCCGGAAGCAGCAGATGAGAACCCAGCCGCACCCTCGAACGACAATCTCCCCGGAGCAGCGTCGCTTCCAAACCCTCCAACTACCTGATCCACCGCCGTGGGTTCGGCTTCCCTCCCTATACAAACGACACCGTCATGCTGGTCCACCCTGTCTTCGCTCTGCACGGGTATTACGTCGAGCTCGTTCGCCACCGAGCAAATCAGCAGCAAGGATTGTCTTCTGCGGTTGGATTTGGAGAAATTGTTGCTGGTGGCGGCGGGCGGCGGCGATTGTGGTTTGAAGGAGGACGGCCTGTTGCTGCTGCTGGATTTGGGCTTGGGGTTAGGGAGAGAGAAAAAGGATTGACGGCTGATGGAGGTGGCGGCGGCGGCGGCGGCGGCCATAGGTGGCGGGTGCGTCCGGTGATCACAAAATCCCACTCGCTTCTTCCGTGTTGAATTTCTGAGTCAACTCAGCTGAGGATTGGTTCAGTGGTTTTTATACGACTGACTGGTGGTGTAGGTGGATTGGTGGATCGGTTTCACACCCGGTGAACTCTTGTGGGACCCAGTGACACGTGGCAATATTTCAGAGGGGCAAATTAGTCAGTAATTAGTCAGCAATCACTGATCATGCAAACGGCAAATCATATACGTATAAATAAAGAAAGGCTGCGGCTATATGCAAGACTAATTCCACTTGTGCAAGACCAAATTAAAATTTTCAATGTATAAATACTATAATACCCTTATTTATTAAAAAAATAAAAAATTCCAAATATGCAAGACCAAAAATTCAAAAACAAAAAAAACCCTATCACAAGACCACAAAACCACAAGACCAACTATCATCTTCTCCATCTTCCAAAACTCACAAGACCTTTCTCCTTCCTCCTCCATTAACCCACAAAACCTAGAAATTCAAAATCATCAAAACTCAACAAATCTTACAAAGATGGCAAGTATGGAGTCAGAAGACATCAAAATAGAAGATTCTACAATGGAAGAACCCAAGAATGTATGCATTTATGGGTTTTTTTTAGCTAGAATATCGATTTTCCAAAAAAATCCCGCGCAAACGAATTCGACATGTACAGGTCGAATTTTACAGGTAAAAATCGACATTTAGATGTCGAATTTGAGGTATAAAATTCGACATTTAGATGTCGATTTTTAGGTATAAAATTCGACATTTGAATTTGTGCTACAAATTCGACATGTCAATGTCGATTTTTACCTATGAAATTCGACGCTTAAGTGTCGATTTGTAGCATAGTTTTTCGACACCTTGGTGTCGATTTTTGTTTTTTTCTCATTATTTGTATTTGGTCTTACATGAGAAAAAAAAGTCAATTTAATTATGGGCATACTTGTCATTCCATCTTAATAAAATATAATCTTTTGGAATCTTTCTTTAATTTGGTCTTGCACAAGTGGAATGAGTATTGCATATAGCCGCAGCCATAAAGATATTGTTCACTATTTTATTTCGGTAAATTACACCCACACCCCTGAGGTATGCTTAAATAATTTTAAGGTCCCTATGGTATCAATAATTACACTCACCCCCCTAAAACGTAGTTAGAAACTCTAACGGGATAATGCATTGGATACATTATTCCAATAGGGTTCTAATGGACTATTACTTTTAGCTAATGGTGGAGATAACATAGAGTTATGGGGAGTTATTGGGTGACATGGCTCCCCAAATATTTCTTAAATCACGTTTTACTCTTTGTTGTCTCCACCACTTCATTGAAACCAATAGTCCGTTAGAACTCAATCGTAATAACGTATCCAATGCATTATCCCATTAGAGTTTATAACTACGTTTCAAGGGGTGAGTGTAATTATCGATACCACAGGAACCTTAAAGTTATTTAAGCATACATCAGGGGTGTGGGTGTAATTTACCCATTTTATTTTGTCCTTCTCCCGTAAAAAAAAAAAAGATAATGTTCACCGTTTTCTTCTCTCAAGTTTCTCGCGATTTTATATTTGGTCCTCATATTCACAAAAAACACATTTAATTCTCCTCATTTTTTAATAATTTAACACTTCTGATCAATTCCGTCCATTTAAAGTTAGTCCTTCAGTTAAGGCAGTGATTGGTTCCGTTATTAGTAACGGAAAATTGACGGAAATGACTATAAATGTTGAATTTTTGAAATATGATGGACTAAATCTATGTTTTACGAACAAGGAGGACTGATAATGAAATCGGGGTAAATTTAAGGGACCAAAAGTGTATTTTTGCCGGTAAGATATTCAAGCAGAAAATTGGATAATATAAATCGAGAAATGGTGCAAAATCAATTTGGTCCAATTAGAAATTAATAAATAATAATAATTTGATGAAAAAAAGAAAAAGAAAAATGAGGTCCATAAAAAAATTAATTTTATGGAAAATAAAAAAAATGAAATTGCAACAAGATTCCATTAGCATAGTAGGGTTGGTCTTTCACAATCAGAATTCAGACCCACATGTTTGCTGCTGTTAATGGGCCATATAATAATTAATTCTCAC